AAAATAAAAATAGAAGTTAATGAATTAGGAAAACAGAAAAAAACCCAGTTGAGTTGGTAAATCTATGTGGCAGTTGTTTAATAAAACTAATAAAATAGAAAACCATGATGGCAAATTTAAATAAAGTGAAATAAACTCAGATGTGGAGAAAGTTAAAATGACTATATTTTGCATAAATCTATGCTAAGAGAATTAACATTCTAGATGCAAATCTTATGCCTTACACCAAAATAAATCCCAGAGGGGTAAACATTTAAAAGTAAAAAATGAAACAATAGACGTATGAAAGAAAAGAGTGAAATTATTAATAATCTTGGAATGAGGAAGGCTTTCCTAAAGAAGACAAAACCACTAAGCCATTGAGAAAAATATTGATAATTTTGATCGAATAAAATGCAAACCTTCTTTAGGGCAAAAGTGAAATAAATAAAACAAATATATAAACAACAAACTGGAGTATATTTGCCAGATATCAGTCTGAAAGGGGGCAAATTTCTCTACCATTCGAAGAATTTTTACAAATAAATAAGAAAAAGCAAACTTTAGAAAAATACACACAGGACACAAGGATCTCATCCACAGAAGATGTACAAATGGCCAGAAATGTACAAAGGTATGCTCAAAGTTTCTGGTAATTAAAGAAATGCAAATCGAAATAACAAAAGCATTTCATTCTGGTGGAGCATATGAGGTTTTCATTTTGGTGGTACTTATAAAAACTGAAATCTGCATACCCTTCCATAGTAGATTGCATTATTTTTCCCCATTAGTTACTCTCCCTCCATTTAAGATCATTATACACACTCACCTCTGACCACATGACATGGAAGAGAATGTGCCAAGTCTGGACACCTCTAAGAGCCTTTGCATGGTTCAACTGTTGCATCCTTTTCCTCTGTCCCGAGGGTAACGTGTACAGAACAGAGCCTACTCCTTTAGCTTGGATCCTGGAACAAAAAAAACTGGTAAATCACACAGCCAGAGCCAACCTAAAACCACTGTAGCCAAAATATAACATGAGCAAGAAATAAACTTTAATTTTTGTGAGCCTATGAGATGCGGGGGCTATTTGTTACCACAACATAACCTACAGAAAGCTAACATAGTAGACCTCCCAGTTCCACTTAGTAATAGAATAACCTGCGTGAGGGTTCACTTGTTTTTTTGGCCACTTAATAGCAATGCAACATTTCACTTAGGTCGTCAGCTTTTCTAAGTTTTCATTTCTTCATATA